GTCACTCTGGAGCTACTTCCACCTGATGGCAGAGCTTCCTTGTGAAAATTGTCTTAATAAAAGCAGGAACAAGTCATTCATCCAAGTCATTCTTTGTTGTAGAAAATTTGCCATCCTTCTCATTAAGGAGAAAGAGTCATGGTTTGCCCCTTATAGCTGTGTACATGAGTTACTTACACAATTTACTCTTTGTTACCAGATAAGGTATCCTGTATATAGGAGAAATGAAATAAAAAGGTACAGGGAGTGGAAAAAAATTGTATAAAAATTCTGTCAGTACAGCAGGGAGAAACGATGTGAAGACATTTCTGAAGCTCAACATCTTATTTTCTACTTTCTAAAGGGAAACTTCAGGGAAGACACTTGAGACATGTTGAAGAAAAGGTCCTTCAGAATTCCCTCTTTATGTTTAACTTAACAGATACTTGTAAGGGGAGTTTATGCTGAATTTATGGTAGTAATAAAGTGATATTTTGGCCTTGATTTTCTAAAAAGTTTTTTTAACTGAAATATATATACTGATGTCTGAGAACTTTTCTTGAGACCTGCATTTTTTTTTTTAAAGATCAAAGAAACATGGGCATTATTTGTTGGCAAAAAGTGAAGTGACTTCCCAAGCATCAAAGCTGTTTAAAGTGTTTTGAAAATACAATTACACTATTCATCTGTTTTTCCCTTTAGAACTAGGGTTTAATGCATGCCAACTATTATGCTATGCCTTGGATGGGATACTGAGATGTAATCTCAGTTGAAATAAATTGAAGTCCCTCATTAGATATTGAACGGCAGCATGAAGGAAATTGGTTTCCTTTAATCTTTCACATAAGGAGGCAATCTCTTTATATGCAAGGAAATAATTTTGCATATTGATTATATTTTCTGATGATGAACTTACACATTTCTAGGCTAAATGGTAGTCTCTGTAAAAGAAGGTGCATAGTAAATATCTATTTCCATAATTTCTTCTAACAAGTTACTACTTCAGCATGCTAACCACTGTAATAGCACAATTCATATCTTTTTTTCCTCATTCTAATTGTACCATTCTCTTATGTTGATTTTATGCTTCCAAAAATTAATAGATAATTTTTACCTTTGAAACAAAATGGCAAGGAAATCTCTCTATTCTGGGAGCTTGTGGGAGAAGATAGGGTGATTCATTTGCTCTGGTTTACCTGGGGTTTTTCTGGTCATAGTGATAAAAGCTTGAACCTGAGAAAACTCTTTAGTCTTCAGCAAAATGGCTAGTTGATCAGTTGATAATTTGAGATTATAAGATTAGTAATTGTTTAATCCACCACTTTTCAACCAGTTTATTTACTTCAGATGTCTCTTCTCAGATCTCTGCCTTGTTTGTTTTTATATTAACTTACACATTTTTAATGAACTGTTTGAGACTAAGTAGAATAATTATGCCCCTTTACCTCTAAATTTTGGTGATTATTTCCCCAAATCAAATATAGTCTTTTTCATGACCACAGTATATCAAGTATATTTATTAAAATCAGGAAATTTGATGCTTAGAAAATGTGTAATCCACAGTGCTTATTCAAATTTCATTGAGTGTCTTAATAATACCCTTCATAACTTGTTTTTCCTAATCGATTCTAATCCAAGATTATGTCACCTAATTATTGTATTTTTAGTCTTTTTTAATCTACAACACTTTATATACATTTTCTGTTTCTTTTCCTTGACATTGTTGAAAAATACATGTCCGTGTATGTGTAGAGTGTCTGTCAATTTGGTTTTGCCTATTTTCCTGGTGATTAGATTCACTTACATAGTGCTCAGACAGGAATACCACCGAGGCTATGCTGGGTCCTTCTTGGTGCATCATCTCAGAAGACACATGATGTTGGTTCATCCCAATGTTGTGATATGGGGAAATGCTGTTGCACACTTTGGTTTAGTACTCTCTGAAAATTTTCCAGTGCCATTCCTTTTACATCTGTTACCAATTCTGTTGTCATTGTATCATAAGGAAGAGCTTGTTATGATTTTGTTTTTTTAATCTATAAGAAGTCACTCGATTCATTATGAGCTTTATTGCTATCCGGTCACCTAACTTTATCATTTGTCTCACCAGTACTCCCAGTATTCCTATTGAGTTACAAGTTCTGAGAATTGCAGTGATCTCAGGACCCGGAATCTTCTGAAAACAGAGGCAAAAAAATCTATCTATTTTTGCCCTTTTGCAAAAACAGGAGAGACACATGTTGTGCTGTAGAAAACACCTTTGAAGACTTCAGAGAAAAGACATTATTTATTCGCCGTAGGAGGCCTCTGAACAGTGTTATTAGCCAACTACATTTATTGATTGTCTCCTGTCTGCTGCACATCTTGCCAGATGCTGCATTAGAGTATTTTCTTTAATCAGTAAAAGCACAGAAAATTGGATGTCTTTGGAGACTACAGCTTGCCCTGCTACCTGCCTCCCAAAAGATTCTTATTAGTATTTTAAGTGCTAATTCCATAGTTTTTTAAGACTTAAAGAGCAAATCAGCCCTGGTAGCATACATACCTGATTTCCTTCATTGGGACACTGGTCATCAGAAGAGGAGCTGACATAGAGAAGTCCCTTTAAAGACAGTGTTCATTTGGTGAACAAAAGAATCACTTTTTAGACTTTGGAAATTTATAAGCATTTATGTCTTGTTTTGATTCCTAAAGCACTTTTCATTGATTATTTTGACATCTGTAGGAATACATAATTCAGGGAACAACATCAAAACTGTACTAATTGCTAAGTACTTAGATTGAAACCCTTTAACTCATGTTATGGTTTCCTCATCTGGAAGAGAGAACAAAACCTTAACTCTTGCATCCTAAAACATATCATTTCTTTGGTAATGAGTCTTATGGGTAGTTATGATGTAAAAAGTAAGAATTTCAGTAATAGTACTGCAATAAATCATTACACTCTCCATTTGTTATAGTTCAGATTTGAAATGTCCCCCAAATATCCGTGTAATAAAGGTTTGATTGCCAGCCTGTGGCTCTTTTGGGAGGTGGTGAAACTTTTGGGAGGCGGGGCCTAGTGGAAGGAGGTTGGGTAACTGGAGAGGTGCTCTAGAAGGGGATAATGGGACCCTAGTTTTTTCTCTCTCTTTGCTTCTCGGATTCCATGAGATGAACATGTTACCTCTCCTTTGTGCTTCTACCATGAAGGAGAAAAAAAAAAAAAAGCATTGGGACTAAATAGTCATTGACTGAAACCTTTAAAACCATGAGCAAAAATAAAAATTTCCCCCTTTTATGTATGTAAGGTATTTTATCATTCTGAGAAGGTACTCACATACCAATTTTCTCTGGGAATTTCAGCAGTTTGCTTGTCTCAGGGACTAATAAGCATCCAGGTGCTATAGGGGAATTAAGTAACACTTATTTCAGTTTTAACTCCTCAACAGGGTAAAGAGAATCATTATTCTCATGATGAGGCTGACAGAAAGAAAACTATGGCAGTTTTCAAAAAGACTAAAAATGTTTAAATATCATCTCTTTCTCTCTTATTACTAAGATGGAAAATATAATTTCTTTCTTTTTTATTTTAAGTAGAATTTCTATTTTATTCTTCTCTTTCCAGAGGATAGGATTTTTTTTTTCAGTCCTTAGCTTAGAAACAGCTCCTCACAGGGACTTTGGAGGATATGATGGGGCAGCATGAGAAGGTATAAATAAGAACTGGGGTGCTGGGTTTTCTGGGCTTCACGAAGGAGGTGGATTTCTAACTGTTATGGGCCAGGCTATATGGGCAGTGACAAACAGATTTCATTTTACCCTGAGACTCCATGTCACATAAGAAATGCTTCTCCTATGGGAAAATACCTCCTCTGTACCCATCAACAGTTGTTTAGAATAACATTTTGGCAACACAAAATGGCATTTTTTTTGGGGGGGGGGAAGAGCATTGTTGATTTTTTGAGTAGTTAAAGGGGAAAGATAGTACTTGAATTTTCCTGACAGTCTTTTTTTTGTTTCTTTATTATTATTATTATTAAATTATTTATCTATTTTAATTTGTTATACATGATGGAAGAATGCAATTCATTTCATATTACACATATAGAGAAAGTGGCAATTCTTATACAATGTAAAATTGTTGTCTTTTTTGTTCCCATTTGTCTTGGGCAACGTGCCCTGTCAGAGATGTCTAGATGTTAGTAACCATTCTTTATCTTGTACTCAACGAGGGTCATTTTGACCCATTTCTCCTGCTAACGATATCATAATGTTTGTTTATGGTTTTGAATCATAGCAACAGCTACTTATGATTTAATGTGGTTTTGGAATATAAAGGTGTCCTCTAACCCTTGGAGGGGGTGGAATGGTGTAGACTTGCAACTGCCCCTCCCTTGACCTGCCAGCTGGTGAATAAATGTTCCATCTCCTGCTTTAAGATGGACTCAGTGATTCATTGCAATCTTGCTGTAACATAATGACCTTGCTGTGATTGACATACTTATGTGATGCTATAGCTTTACACACAGCGTGGGAGGCACACTCACTTTGGAAATCTCCCTGGTGGTTTTGACCACTGCTATGTTTCAAATGGTGAACTTTTCAATGATTCCACCTTTGGGAAACCAATGGGTGGAGCTAATAGGCTGCCTGTGGCTGTGACCCTTTTTTGGAATTACTACTGTTTCTACTTCTCCTCCTCCTCCTCTTCCTCCTCCTTCTTCTTGTAATCTTGCAAGTAAGAACTTGAAAACATTCATTTCTTTAGCAGACCTATAAGTACATTATTGAATTAGATGAACTGTATTGGTTTTCAGTTCAAAAATACTAATTTTAGTAATTGTCAAATACTTAATTCTATATTTTTACACTTAGCCTGTTAGGTTTAGACTGAATTAAAGATAACCCTTTGTTTTTGTCCAGAGGCTCACATTTTGATAGGGACCCATAATATAATGATCAGTTTATACATTTAAAATCTATTCCTTAGAGCTAGGAGCTCAACTTTATTTTTGAGTATTTTATAATTACCTGTATTTTCAAGACATAGTTGATCATATCTATAATTCATATGAGGCAGATTCTGGTTAGGAATGAAAGCCACAAACAGTATATTGTTTCTATGGGAAAGTGTTATCTGTTTTACAGTGAATGACTTGTGATGTGGATTCCAAACTGTATTTGTAGAGAGGATCTGGGATTGTACTCAGCTGGTTACACCAGAACATACTGTGGTTGTTTCATAAACACAATTTCCAATGAAAGATCCTATGGGAAAGAGGAGAGAAATCAACTTTAAAGGGTTAATCTCCAAAATTGAGAGAAAAACAGAAGAAAAGGAAAAATATGCTTAGAGAACAAAGAAAAGGCATTTGAAAGCAGAGGAGAGAAGAGAAATAATGCAGAGGAAGACAAGGTAATGGATAAAAGAAGGAAATTTTTCAGGGAGACAAATATCATTAGAAATTCAGTCTACTTTTTAAGAACTACAAAAAAAAAAAGAACTACATACACAATTTTACTTTTAAAATTACCTGTTTGTTCTTCATAAGCACCTCTTCTTACTTATTCTACTATGCTTTATGGAATCGTGTGCATATCGTTTTGGTCAGAGACTACAGAAAAAAACAGATGAGGAAAAGAAAAAGGGAACAAGAACGGGGTGTTGGACATCTTGCACGATGTTATAATGATAAGTGTGTTCGATCCATGCTACTGTCATAACTATGAGAAAGACAAAATTAAAAAAAAAGATTGAAAAATTTTAATTAGTTAGATTAAGAAGAGTTTAATCATGGAGATTTATGGGGCCTTATTGATCTTTAAACTTTTTGCTGCAATCTGAACAATTTTATTGGCATGTTTGAGAAGACTGGCAAGTAGCTAGAGCCAAGTGGATTTAGATATGAAGTGTCTATTTATTTATTTATTTTGGTCTTGGGGATTGAACTCAGGCACTCGACCTCTGAGCTACATCCCCAGCCCTTTTTTGTATTTTATTTAGAGACACGGTCTCACTGAGTTGCTTAACGCCTCTCCATTGAAGATGCTGGCTTTGAACTCACAGTCCTCCTGTATCAGCCTCTCAAACCACTGGGATTACAGGTGAGTGTCACCATGCCCTGCCAAAGCGTTACTTTTAATACGGTGTTATGGTTTGGAAGTGAGGTGTCACCCAATAGCTCCTGTGTGAAACAATGCTGAGACCATTCAGAGGGTAAATGATTGGATTGTGCGGGCCTTAACCCAGTCAGTGAATTAATCACCTGATGGAATTAATTGAGTGGTAATTGAAGGCAGGTGAGGTGTAGTTGGAGGAGGTAGGGCATTGGGGGTGTGGCTATGGGGTATATATTTTGTATCTGGAGAGTGGGGACTCTCTCTCTGCCTTCTGATCATAGCATAAGCTGCTTTCCTCGGCCACACTCTTCTGCTTTGATGTTCAGCCTCACCTTGAGGAATGGAGCCAGCCTTCTATGGAGTAAGACCTCTGAAACTGTGAGCCCCCAAATAAACTTTTCCTTCTCTAAAGTAGTTCTCATCAGGTCTTTAAGTCACAGCAGTGAAAAAGTTGACCAAAAATGGATACAGTTTCTATTTAAACACTGAGGCTATTGATAGTAAAATACTCTGTTAAATGGTTTCTCTCAAATATTCCAGAAGGGATTGAGCACTATGCATTGTCCTTTATTTTGCTTATTCTATTTTATCTTCCTGAAACTTTAAACTTGAAATTAGACATTTATAAGTTGGTCTTCTGCACGCATTCCAAACTCAATTCTTTCAAGAAAATAATGAAAACTTCTAAATGTTGGATCCACAGACATATTCTCCAATGTTTTCCCCTTATGTGTTCTTTGAGTAGTTTTATAGTTTTAGGTCTTATGTTTATGTATTTTCTCGACTTTGAGCTTATTCTTTTAGAAATTGTGAGATAAATTTTGTTTTCATTCTTCTGCATGTAGATAGAGACATTTTTGTGGCATCATTTAGTTAATAGATGTCTTTCTCTTGTCATATGTTCTTGACCTCTTTGTTGAAAATCCGTTGACCACAGTTTATAGGTTGAATTCTAGACTCCTGATCCTTTAATCAATGTGAATATTGTTACACCGTTTGTCACACTCTTTTGTTACACTCTTTTGTTAGCTACAACTTTGTAGCATATATAATTCAGAGAGTGTGATGTCTCCAGGTTTGTTCTTTTTGTTCAAGTTTTCTTTATTTCCTCTCTTCCTTCTTCTATTCCCTCTTTCCCCCTCCCATCCTTCCCTCTTTTTTTTCTCCCTTCCTTCTTCTTTCTTTTGTTCTCTTTTTGGTTTAGTCACATTTCTTTTCTTTACACAATCATTGAAATTCTGTACAAAGAGAGGGTCATGAAAAGATTAGCACATGAAATGTGGTATTCTGACTTATGATTTTCACACAATCCCTGTATTTACATTTTGTTCAGGTTTGGTCAATGCCACATGGTCAGAATGATCCTATTCTCAGACCATAATGGTCTCTCTGAGGGTGTGATTCGGAATCTAAAGGGCGAGAGCAAGTTCCTTCTTAACTCTTGATCACTGTCATAATGGGGATGTGCTCCATTCCCAGATCTGAACATCCTCCCTTAGGCTTTCACAGAAGAAGGAAATTGCACATAATGGACACTCAACTCCTCCATTAAACCTAACAAAGGAGTTTGGCCCAGCATGGGGTTTTCAGATAACAGAAAACTTCACAACTTTATAAAACCCAGTTGTCAACTCATTTTATAAAACATGGCTCTGGGTCTATAAGAGGACCTACTTATTGACTTCAATTTGGGGGTGTATTTTGAGCATGGAAGTGAGGTATACTTCATTCTCCCAGGAAGAGTCCCATTGACCTATGCAAAAGGAAGTCACAGGATTTTAAGGTCAGGTAACTCCCATCAATGGGGTAAAGGAAGGGAGGTAACAAGCTAAATTTTTTCTTTTTTTTTTCCCCACTCCCAATCTTAGGCCTACTTCTTTTTCACAGAAGAGTGACCTTCATATTATGATGTACAAGCTTACAATCCTTTGTCATTTTATTTTTAAAATTATCAGAAAATTATAAACAATACTTTTCTGGTACTTTAGAGTTTACTATAAACTCATATATATTATTTTATTTGTTTTTCACAAGAACCCTATAAACCATCTCTCTCCCTGTCTCTGTCTCTGTCTCTGTCTCTGTCTCTCTCTGTCTCTCCCTCACACACACACACACACACACACACACATACACACATACACAGATACTTAGTATTAAATCCAGGGGTGCTTGACCACAGCTACCACTCGCCTCCCCTTTTGTAAAAAAAATTGAGTCAGGGTCTCTCTAAATTGCTTAGAGCCTGGCAACGTTGCTGAGGCTGGCCTTGAACTTGCAATCCTCCTGCCTCAGCCTCCTGAGCTGCTGAGATTACAGGTGTGTGCCATGGGACCCAGCCTCATCTCTTATCCTCTTCTGCAGGAGGAGAACAAAAACTGAAAAACTGGAATGTTCTCAAGGCCATGCTGTATATCAGCAAATTTTCGCTGGCAACTTTGTAAGATAAAGCTAGTTAGTAAGGGCAGAGTCAGGGTGGGGCTAAGGTTTTAAAATTTCAAGCCTTTCAGCCTGTCCTGTCTCAGGGCACCTCCCTTCAGGATGAGTATTGTTGATAGAACCCCACTTTCTTACTAGCTGTGTGTCTTTCCTCCTGGGTAAAATTTTTCCCTTTTTCCTTATTAGAATGTTATTTGTAATCTATGCTACTTTTATTTCTGTCTGTGACATTTTACTTAGTAGAATGTAAACACCCTGAGAACATGAATCATTTTTGCTTTTCTTTTTTTTAACAGCATATGTGGTACAGTTTTGCTAATATAAATTCTACAAAATAAAAACCTTGTGATAAAGTCACACAAACATAATTATTAGTCTATACATCATGATATTGCCAGGGGGAATAGAAAAAAAAATCAGTTTGAGCTTTTTTCCTATGCTTTTAATTATTTGAAATTGATTTGACAATCAGTTCTGAAGCATAAATTAGGTGGCAGTAACAGATCTGTCACAATATATTTGTACCTACAATCTTACTCATAGAAATATGGTTATTAGGAATATTCAGACTCACAGTTTGCCCTTGAAGATATGCATTGCAAGTGCGTAGTGTGTGTTTGTATGTGTTTGAAGGAAAAGAATGTAAAACTAATTACTTCCAGAAATGGAAGATATGGAAACTAAGACAGGGAGGCTGCAGCTTGTTTTCATCTAAAACAATCTCGATTCCAACAGTAAAGCTTTCTGAGAGAGCTCAGTTTTCTCTAATGTGCTTGCCCTTCTTTTTTATTTTCCTTTCCAAATCACACAGCTGAGGAGCATTGTCCATGGAAACACCCTGTTAAGTTGGTGATTCATCCACCCTATCTGTTAAGGTTTTGTTCCTAAGGTGTCATTGGGATTGTTGTGCCTTTGCAAAGATGAACAAGACATTCTAAACATAGCCCCTAAATTTTTATATATCCACACTCAGCTGCAAACATTTTCTGAGTATATTTAATTAATGTACCCAAAGGGACCTGCAGAAAGTTCAGGTGTTTCCTGTCCCTGTTGTATCTCAGTCTGTTGTACACTAAGAGCCAGAAAGCTAAGCTTGATTTCAGGACATTTGCCAACAGAATTTGGGGGTTTAGAGTCCAAAAATAAAAGCTCATTTGTGTGTGTGTGTGTATGTGTGTGTGTGTGTGT